GGGCCGGAGGCGCAGGACGCGCGGGCGGGTGGCGGAGAAGCCCCGAGGGGCCGCGGAGGAGGAGGACGACGACGAGGAGGAGGACGAAGAGGTGGTCGTCGAGGTGGTGGACGGCGATGAGGACGACGAGGACGCGGAGGAGCGCTTCGTTCCCCTCGGACCCGGCCGTGCGCTCCCCCGGGGCCCGGCCCGGGGCGCGGTGAAGGTGCGTGCGGGGCGCCGAGGACTCGGTGCCGGGGGTTGCGGTTGGGGGGCGCAGCGGGCTCGGCGGGGTGCCCGGGCGCTCGGGGAGGCCGAGCCGGGCCGCGCGGGCCGGGAGGGGTGTGTCAGGCGGCCGCGGGCAGCGCGCGGAACTGCGGCTCGGCGGCGCCCCGGCGGCCTGTGGTTGCTCGGAGGCCGGGCGGCTTCGTGGTCCCCCCGTGCCTCCGGGGGGGTTGGGAGGGGGGAGAACGCCTCTCCCGGGCAGGATGGGGAACTTGGGAGAGGGACGAGGTAGGAACGGATTGCGCCCGATCGGCCAGGCTTTGACGTTTCACGGTGCCCCGGGGACGCGGAAGCTTTTGGAAACCCGCAGGCAACCTGCAACGCCTCCCTTCACCTGGGCACAGTTTTTGATCGGTGTCCTTCGCAGGCGCTTGTGAAGGAACCCTGAGTCTGTGCACAGTGATAACCAAGACCTTGTTTTCCGCGAGCTTTCTGCTGGTGTCTCCCCCCACCCCCTTCTCCCCGCGCTTTTCCCCCCCCTCCTTAAACTGGACCTCCTAAGTTCTTTGTCTCCCCCCCCCCCCCCCCTTAAGATTACAAACGAGGAAAGAGGAAATCGAGGAAGGTGTGTGTGTGAGGGGTGGTGGGGGCTGGCATTTGAAATGAATGTGAGTTTCGGCTGAGAATTCTCAGCAAGTCCCCATCCGTGCTGGAGCAGCGAGCGATCTTTCCGTTTTTGTATCTTCAGGAGATAAAGGGTTTATTATTACACAACTGACTGGCTGAGCTTCCAAGCACGCTATTGGACAAAGCAAACCGCGTTGAGGTTCATGCACCGTGTATGTTGCTAAGAAGTTTTGAGGGCAGCAAGTGGCAAACGATGGAGAGTGCTTTCTCTCCTGTGGCTCTTAAAACACAGAATAGCCAAAAATTCTTGGAGTTTTCAGAAGTGCATAAAAACAAATGAGCTTGATAGGGATTGTTGTGTTTTTTTTTTTTTACATCTCTCCACGCCCACTCTCAAAAGTGACTGGAAGCTAGAAATTGTATTTGCAAAAAAAAAAAAAAAAAGTCCAACAGCAGTTACAATAGCCCCGCAATAGATGTGGGAACGTGGTTCTTTCCTAGACCACCCTGAAGTACGCCTGGCCCCCCTTGTGAGAAGATTTGAGCGAACGGTCATTTGGGTGATTGTTTTTGACAGCTGCTTGTTAGAATCCGAATCCGGACTGTGCCCACACTCATTACTGCTGCCTCCTGAAAAGACTGCTTTGTGTGGCAACAGGATATAGCTGGATTTGAATTAAGTTCCATTGCATCGTTGACACCGAATAAGACCAGAGTGACTCCTGAGCAGTTCTGTTCAGACACACGCTGACAACGTGTCTAGGGGTTTGCACAGTGATTATACAGGTAGAGATAGAAAAACTAATAGTAAATTATGCCCTGTGATCCAAGCAGGCCCAGTGTAGAAAGGAAATCTGTTCTTTAAACCTGGAATATCTAGGGTGTGATTGTGAGCATTAGCAGAAGAGATTTTTCACATCTCCAACTAAATTCAAATTCTTTCAGATTTCCAGCACATTGCTTTGCTCACAACTTTCAGAGCACATTGCTCACAACTTCTTAGAAGTTACATGTTGAATATGCGGTGGTATAATTTAATCCTTTTTTTTTCATCACTTTAGAGCTGTCCTGATACTGCATCTGAAGAGATTTTTTTAAAAAGAGAACATGGCAAATAAATTTACATTTCTACATATTCATGTGTGCCTTTGTTTGACAGGTATTTATTGAGCACCTACTGTGTGCCAGATGCTAATGTAGAACACAGCAGGCCCCGACTTTAGAAGGCTTGCATGTGATGCAGTGCATCATAGCAGCTGACCAACGTGTGAACACGACACCGGAACTGTGATTTGTGCTGCTGTTACTCTGCTCTCACTCAGCCAGATCTGTCCTTCGGCTTTCTGAGAGGAGCTAGGGACCATATCAGAACTGGTTAAAGCAAAGAGGTGGGACTTCACTAAGGGAAGGGCAGGAAGCAGCAGCCTGTTTCTCAGGTCTTCCCTGCTTTCCCCTCTTAACACGGGACAGAAGTGATGCTATCTTTTCTTAGGATGGGAAGAGTCCAGCAGATTTATAACCTTTTCTTTAAAAAAAAAATAACGAAATCATTAGTGCGTGTGTATGCACACATACAAGCCATGAAACACTTGGGGAAGTCAGAGGACAACTTTGTCCGAAGCTCTTCTTTTCCACCCACCTTGCTGCTTTCCAGAGTTCAGACTCTGGCTGTCATGCATGGCAGGTGTCCTCTGGAATTCCTCAGTGGGTCCTGTTATGACCTGCAGGAGAATAATACCTCCAAGAATTCCGTTTCCCCTTTCCTGCTTAGCCATGCTTGTGTGACTGAGGAGCTGTCACAGAAGTTGTGGAGCTGCTGCATGGGAAGTTTACCCCGGGTGTACTGCAATGAGATATGTTGAGTGTGGAGGGCAGCCAGTGGTGGAGGTGGCAGCCAAGTCATTTGAATCAGCCTGGTTCTTCTGCCCACTGTGTCTTCCTTAGAGATGTAGATCAAATGCACTCGGTGTATGAACTGGTCATGCTGAGGCGTTTAGGTCAGGACTCAGAAACAGAAGCAAGGGAGGTAAGGGGGGGGGG